GGAAAGGTGATAGCTGAAAGAAGAGGTCTGTCCTTGGGCTTTGGAGCCAAAGATTTTGAGGGCTTGATGGCAGAGTTAACTGTGGTTTCCTCACCTGGAGTAGTAGTTGGGTTTGTTTCTTCTTGATTCAGCAGCTCCTGGAAGGTATGGCTAGTACTTTTCTCTGTGCTCACAAATATCAGCATCCTTATCTCTAGTATACCTGTGTTTCAATTGTAGTACTACTGCAGGTGGAGGTTTACATGACTGAAGGTTCCCCATAGTTGGGGTGGGGAGGAGTAAAAGAAGAAGACGAAGGTGTTCAGGAGAAAGGCTTCCATGTCTGTCACAGTTCTCAGCAACCCCCTGGCCCTTGTGTATACTTTTGAAGTTGTGCTCCTGAAACACCCTGGAGAACTAGAGTCATTGGCCTTGTAGAGAAATAGGAAAGGTCATAAAAGCCTCTCATTGCCAGTATTGCTCTGCATTGTCCGTAGCTTGGGAATAATGTAGTCCTTAATGTTGAAAAAAGAAACTGCTCAGAAACTGTTGATGGGTTCCAGCTCATTTGCGTTATTGTAGCATGACCCATTAAAGAAAAACTTATATCCCACTGTTTGGATTAGTTAGTCCTGTATATTTCCAGTGTAGCCCTATACACTGACTTTCATTTAAGAGGACTCCACTTCCATAGGCGCTATTCATATACAGTGGTGCCTCACAAGACGAAATTAATCCGTTCCGCGAGTCTCTTCGTCTTGCGGTTTTTTCGTCTTGCGAAGCACGGCTATTAACGGCTTAGCGGCTTTAAGAAAAAGGAAACAAACTCGCAAGACGTTTCGTCTTGCGAAGCAAGCCCATAGGGAAATTCGTCTTGCGGAACGACTCAAAAAACGGAAAACTCTTTCGTCTAGCGAGTTTTTCGTCTTGCGAGGCATTCGTCTTGCGGGCCACCACTGTATTTTCCTCCTCTGGCACTTTGGGGATCAGACAATCCTTAGTATATTTCTTCACTGGAGAAATATTGGTTAGAGTGAAGGTAGATATCAATTTAAGGACTGATGCCCTTTCCTTTTCTGGTAAGACTATAGAATAAGAAAAATATTGTATTAGGAGGAGCGAGCCAACAGGAAACCAAGCTGGCAGCTATAAAAGCCATACATAGATAAATCACATACACACACCAGTTACATATTTATAGGGCCCCAGTCTGGTTCAAGTCAAGTTCTCTCTGTAGGGGCTCTTTCAAATAAGTATTTGAAGAAGATTTCTGTATGAATATTCAAAGCGTTTCTACCCCCCCCCCCTTTGCACCCACAGGCATGTAGAATTTACTGCTTACCTGTGAGCTGTGTGGAGTTTCAATTCCCTTGGTGCAATTGATTTCAATGGTTGAGTACATTATCCCCCCTTTCTCCCATTTCACATGTTACTTTTTTGGCAGTAGAGTACACAGCACTTAGCAGCTGGTTTGTGAAACCATCAGTCAGGAAATTGTATGATAAATAGGGGGTAGCCAGGTTTAGTGGCACTTTATTCTGCTTCAGCAGTTTTAGCTTGACTTTGGAAAAATCACCATGTGGTATTTTGTCAAGGGTTGCAACAAGAGATGGCTAGACTGCAGCAACTTAGCACACATCCTGCTTGAGCTATGATGTTCCACAGCTGTATTGCTCATGTGTAAGGAATAAACTCTGAGCTGGATAATTATGGTGAATGCCAGTTTTTCGGATTTCTCCTCATCATGCCGGTGGCTGTAGACAGCTCTGTTACAGTGATTGACTACTTTGTCTCTGCCCTCCCCACACAATGGAAACTGCGAACAAGGTGCAATTAAGAACCGGTGAGGAGCTTAATGCAAGAGGACTCACAAAAGGGTGCTCTTTAAATTTATGATCAAGTTTCTTGCAACATACTATTACAGTATTTAAATTGCATATAATACTATTGCATGCCCTTAGATGCTTAAGAGCACTTGCATTGTTTCACAAACTGCGTTTTCTTGTATGAGTTAATGTGAAAACATAGGGGCTTTGCAGTTGTGTACAGAAAACTATCAGCAGGCATGATCCTGAAAGTGCCTTCCATGTAAGAATTTAGTCATATGGTCCTCATTCATCTACACATGAAGAATATACATCAGGCTGCTAGGATTGATGCTTCTTTGTAAGTAAGGGTGATCTGAAAGTATCTGGAGGATTGTGCTCCAAGCCTTTTGGATTCAGTGCCTGTGGTCCTACCGCTGAGTTATGGATGCTCCCTATTAGCTCGGCTTAAGTCAGGGGTCAGCAACCTTTTTCAGACCGTGTGGTGGGCTGGACTATATTTTGAAGAAAAAAATGAACAAATTCCTATGCCCCACAAATAACCCAGAGATGCATTTTAAATAAAAGGACACATTCTACTCATGTAAAAACATGCTGATTCCTGGACTGTCCGCGGGCCAGATTTAGGAGGTGATTGGGCCGGTCCACGGACCTTAGGTTGCCTACCCCTGGCTTAAGTGGATGGATTCTTTAGTTGAGCTGGTATCGAATAGGAATTCTGGAACAGGCTCAGGGTTTGTTGTGTTGAAGCTCTAGTCAATATAAACATTTTAGGATTTTGCCTGTACCACAGGCAGCTTTCACCTTCTATATGCTCCAACATGTCTCTTAACAAAGAAGATAAAATGTGGGTAGAATTGGTGGCATTATTTCAGGATAGATGCAAAGGAATTGGCCGCTTTTTAAGGATTTCCTCACTCCACAGAAACCCACACCGAAAGCTGTTTAATGTGCCTGTTTTAGAAATACGATCTTGGCAGCCTGGGTCTCAAGCAATGTGAAGGGATGTTTGTCTTGGAGGAGATGAATACAAACAATCTTTTATGAGGTATCACAGCATTTATGGTTAATGTTTTCTACTGGAGAATCCAAATGCAAGTTCTTAAGTAAGACTCGCTGTTTGTCACATGAACTGAAATGTGTGTCAGCTCCATGCCTCTGTGAGTCCCTATAATTCACGCTAAGCCTTGTGGAAGTTGGTGGGGGTTGCAGAGAACTTTCCCATACGAATCAAGGCCTATACGTTTGTGTTTAAGTGGGAGGACAAGTTGAGGCGCTAGAAATTATTGTTTTAAGTGGTACTTTGTCGTTTACATTAGCAATCCATTCCAGTTCCCCAAGGTTCAGGATCAATTCAGACTTGCTGGTAAGAAAGTGATTTAAGAGTCAGAATCTAAAGTCTTTTTATGGCAACTGTGATCTGAATACGATACTTTTGATGAAGGGCAGTATAGTAGTAGTAGTAGTAGTAGTAGTAGTAATAATAATAATAATAATAATAATAATAATAAAAACACTTCCATCCATTAGGAATAAATTATTATCTGTTTTGCTTACTATAAACAGCTGTCTTTTGTCAGGCTGCATGTTTTAAATAGTGTACTGACACCAGGGATTTTTCAGCCTTTTTGTATTGTGACCCAAGTTCTGGTTTGCATGTTCTTTGTGGGTTCTTTGCTTCTTACCGCTTCATATGGGAGGCTGGTGGAAGAGCTTCCAAGTTTCTTCTGCATTCCACTAATGCTGTTGTGAACACGTGAGGGAGAATGGAAAGAGGAGGAGATGTTCCTGGATTTGCATAGGCTCTGTCATTTCACCCAAGACACTACAACAAATTGTGGCCAACGAGACGTTATGAGAGATGATGTGGCTGCAGCTTCTCCATATTTCGCCACACTAATATGTGGTGGAATAAACACAGGACGCAGTGAAGTAAACATTTCCTCCCCCCCCCCCCCCCAGTTAATTGTCTGCTCTTTGCAGGGGGTGGAGAAACATTAATCCTGATGATGTTGCATCATGCACTTCATTTATGAAACATTACTAGGGAGGTATGGGGGGGGCAGCTCCAGTAGTACTTTGCAGTGGACTTTGCTACACTATATTTTTACAAGTACTTTAAAAAAAGAAAGAAACACATGCTAATAATAATAAATATTGGGGTGTGCTTATGAAAGGCTAGCTGATCTCTTTGATCTGACACTTCACATATGCACACTGCAATTATTTATTAAAGACTTCTTTATGTAATTTTCCATTAAAGTGATGAAAAGAGAATATTAAAATTAAGACATGAATATTCATGTGTGCCAAGCAAATTGGATGAGCCAAACTCTGTATCTTACACATTTGGCTTGAGTTCATGTAAATGCAAAGGTATATTCAGCGCTGTGCAATATTATTGTTGCTGTGTTCCTCTTCATGCTTCTTGGCAGGTTGGTGTCTTCAGGGGTGCGGAAAATTTCAAAATGTGGTGTGATTCTCTGAGAATCTCTGTATTCTTTCTTTGCTTTTTTTAAGCCTTATGGCTGCTTGTGACAGGCCGTAGCTCAGTGGTAGAGCTCATGCTTTGCATAGCAGAAGGTCTCCGGTTCAGTACCTGGCACCTCTAGCCAGACAGAAATACGTAGCAAGTGATACGAAAGAGCCACTTCTGCCACTGCCAGCCAATGTAGAATAAATTGGGCTAGATGGACAAATAGTCTGGCTAGCTACAAGGCCTCTTGCTGTGTTCCTAAGCCATGCGTGGTAGTGTATGGGCAGTGCACTTCGAAACCAGAAAAGTCAACAAGATTGCTCAGTGAGGTTTTCGGTGTCCAGAGGTTTGACCCAGAGGCTCAGTCATCCATTGCCTCCCGAGACAGACGGGTGCCAACCAAAGGCCAGAGGGTAGAGCTTCCATGCCATGTAGAGATCCTTATCCTTCCCCACGAATAGCAGAATTAGGCAAAATAGTTTAACAGTGCAAAGTAAGAGAAAATATGCAAATGTTCATGATTGGTATTATCCGTGTAGATACAACTCATATTTTCTTTTCACAGCGTTTGGGGCTGCCTGGGTGCAGGTTTCTTACATATTTCTTTGAGGGGTTTTGGCAGTGTGTACACACAGACTTGTTTATTGGATTTTTTAAATATTATATACTGCTAAGGGACAATAACAATGAGATTTGGAAACCCCTGTTTCTTTTTTCAGATCCGCCCCACCTTTTCCCAGCATTCCACCCTCCTGTTCCAATTGACGCAAGACACCATGAAGGGCGTTATCATTACGAACCATCTCCCATTCCTCCGCTACATGTGTAAGTATGAACTCTTGCAGCACCTTGGCTTACTAAAGAACAGCTGAAGAAAAACATCCTAGGTCACTGCATCTTTTGTGCTGCTTGAGCATCCTATAGCAGCGGGAGACCAGCTTTCCTTAGCAGACCCCTTTAAGAGGTTTCCCCATAGTTTAAAAGCAGTGCCCTCCTTCTCTAAATGTGGATGGGTTGATTGCAATGAGCACACTCTGTGCATGTTTAGAGGTGCTCTTATGCTACCACCTTCTATGTGTAATGGAAATTGGCTCCAGATGACGTGATAACTTTGTGGTGGTGGTTCAGTGCTTTTCAAATGACTGGAAGAATCCACACGAAAGCCAAACAGTTTTTCTTATGACATGCCGTTTCTGACTGTGGTTCATATTTGTATTTCATTTCTACTTTGTTTTGCAAGGTATCCTAGAAATTGGGATTGATAGGAGCAGGGTAGCCAAATTAGTCTCAGACTTGGCTGGGCTGAAGTGTGATTACACACACACACACACACACACACACACAAAATTCCCAGCGATGGACTCAAGATATCATGCTTCCAGGAGGCTTTCCTATCTGTGCTACCAGAAAAACACAGGGGAAGCTGCATGTGTTTTACAGGAGCTGCCTGCCTGATGGGGTGGAGCCAAGGTGGCGCCAAGGTGGCAGTGAGGTCAAGATTATATGGACTCACTCATGGAAATGTTGAGTTGGCTCCATCAGTGCATCAGCACCAGGGTGGCTGTCCTGTTTTGCCACCTGAGACACCCTGTGCCCATCCCCACCAAAACTTTATTTACTGGGGTCGCAATGCAACCGCTTCTGGGTTCCAGCAAGACCTTGAGAGCCCCACAAGATTTCACAGGAACCCAGAAGCTATTTATTCTCACTTCTGCAGCAGTGTCCCTTGGACTCCACTGTCCAAGGCAGCTGCCTCAGTCTGTTTCATGGACGGTCCAGCCCTGATCATCACAGCCCTTCCTGATAAACAGCCACATTGCTGCTTCTGGAAGGCTGTTGCTGTGGCTCTGCCTCACTGGGTAAACAGCTCCTGAGTTTTTGAGTTCTGCAGATACATTGCTGGGTCCAATTCTGGCATCATGTTTCCCCTTTCTCATTCCCATGGATTTACCTTAGCATGGCTTCTGCACTGATGCTAAATACGACTAATGCTAAATAGGTTCCCTTTTAAACTGGGTTTGCAAACCTATTGGAACCCCTGGTTAAGAGAGGCCAACCTGATTAACAGAATCCATCGTCTGCGGTGTTGCATGTTGCAAGAAATACATTATGGTTAAGGCAGACAAAGAAAAGCTAGAGAGGGAATGGGAGAGAAAGTGTGCATCCCTGAAGGTGCTTGCTGATTTGCAAACTGAGGTGCTTAAATGTTCTGTTGTACCTTTGGAAAGGTTTTGTGGTGCAGCAAAAGGACAAGATTTACTCTTGGAATGCCTGGGGTTTATCTGTCTGTGGGTTCACTGAAGCAAAACAATCCTACTGCCTTAGCAGTGAAACTTATAATAGGTAGCTACCAACTATTACCTATATATTTTGTTGACATTTATTCTATGAGTTGTCATTCTATAAATACTAAATTAAAAAGTACCAAACACTGTAAAATATCACTATAGAAACTGGGACTGGCGTGTCCCCCTCCTGGAAGCTTCCCCCGCCCCTTTTCAGTTTTTTTTGGATTAGGTTGGAATTCTTTCTTGCTAAAAATATCCCATGGTGTCAAAAGCTTTTCACAAGTGACTGCTATGAAAGGGGGTGATTTTTTTTGGGGGGGGGTAGATTGTCATAGTCTACAATTGTTGCATACATGTACACCCAGTCATTTGATTGATGGATTTGTAATCCAAACAAAATTGCAAGCGTGACAGTTTACACTAAGTTAACAAAAAAATACTAGTGAAAGCATGTATTAGGCGGGGGGGGGGCTCTATTCAAAATCGAACACTGCTTTATTATGGATGGGAAAGGTATGTCAACATAGAAGGGAAGGGCGGGGGGGGGGGTTCCAGTGTCTTCTTTTCAACTATAAAATCCAGAAGAACTACTATAATCCATAAAAACCCAAATCCACAAAGCAGTTTCAGTCCTTTGCTAAAAGGCTTGATATATACATTTAATCATCTCTAATAATCTCTCTCACAGTGTGGAAATAAAGGAAGAAAAGCACAAGTAATACTTTGAAGAATAATGCTAGTTGTTTAGATGGCAGATTGCTTCTCCATGGCTATTAGTTACAGCTGTGTAATTACATATATACTGCAGGGAAAAAATGAATTTGTTTTAAAACAAGTCGTCTTCTGTGAGCAGAATTAATTGATATTAACAATCCTAACTATATGCCCAAGAACATACACAATATTTTACCAGCAGTTATTTTGGATCAGTCTCTTATTAGCCAAATTGTAATTTCAGAAGAAATTGGCCTGAAGGCTAGCAATAAATCTGTGTTGCATTCTTCCTTGGGCTTGAAAAGCAGGGGACCCTGTATTTACAGTTGGAGTAGTGGGAGGGGAGAGAAGACTTCCAGGAACTGTCATTTATTTTTCCATTGAGGTTATTTGCATCTGTTATTATTTGGATTGTACTCGGTTGCGCAGTAAAATGCATTTGAATGGTCTGAATTAAACTGGCTCAAAGGCTTTTCCTTTTTCTTTTTGAGGACACCCCCGTGCACTCATTGCTGAAAATTCAACACTCCATGAGAATAATAGCATGCAGAACTGGCTTGGAAAGAAGGCCTATGAATTGCTGTGCCTTTTCTTAACCTTACAACACGAGCCTAACTAATCATGTTTACTTCAGAAATAAGTCCTGTTGAGTTCAGTGGGACTTAATCCCTAGTTGAGGGTTGCAGACTCTTCTTAGGTCTGCAGACCAAAGCGAATGCGTAATGTGGCTTTCATGTTACGCGTAACATTGTCCTCAAGCTTGGGTGTGACTTGTTAGGTTCTATTCATCTCTGAGACATTCAGACATTCAATCTAACAGTAAAGCTTTTGTTGGGATGTACCCTTTCAGAGTGAAGGTGGGAGATAACATTTTTTAATATTTCCCCATTGAAAAAACCCCTTTCTGGAAAGCAAATTAGCATCTCAAGGAGAAGTGTTCAGCCTTTTATCTCACATGCTGTTCTTCTATGTGCAGGGAAGTTTTATTTGGAACAGAGGATGTTCAGATTGCTTTTCCTTACAGTGGTGCATTCCAGGAAAAGCCTTAACATTTTATTCTGCTGAATGTATGCATTGGCCTAAAAGATCTTCTATCTTTGTTTGAAAGTTAATTATTTCCCCTCGTAAAAATCACAATAAACACACATCAGAAGTAAAAGGGAAAGGAGGGTTGTACCCAATTCTTGTCCTACTCAGAGCAGACCAGTTGGAGTTAATGGGCCTGGCTAACTTGAGACTCATTAATTTCAGTGGTCTTCTCTGAGTAAGGGTAAAGGTAAAGGACCCCTGGACAGTTAAGTCCAGTCAAAGGCGACTATGGGGTGTGGCGCTCATCTTGCTTCAGGTCGAAGGAGCCAGTGTTTGTCCACAAACAGCTTTCCGGGTCATGTGGCCGGCATGACTAAACTGCTTCTGGCGCAACGGAACACTGTGACAGAAGCCAGAGCACACGGAAACGCAATTTACCTTCCTGCTGCGGTGGTACCTTTTTATCTACTTACACTGGCATGCTTTAGAACTGCTAGATTGGCAGGAGTTGGGACAGAGCAACGGGAGCACACACCGTCGCGGGGATTCCAACAGCCAGCCTTCTGATCAGCAAGCCCAAGAGGCTCAGTGGTTTTAGACCACAGCACCACCCACATCCCGCTTCTCTGAGCATTGGATATAACCCCAGCAAGACTTTTTGCATCTTCTGTCAAGGTCGAAATACCATTTTCTGTCTACTTACTACTACTTCTGCAGTAAGTAGATAGCCTCTGATTCTGAACTGCCCTCTGCCACAGCCTCTTCCTGCTCACTAAACCCTGTCGTCTCTTCTGCTTCCAACACCTCCTCCTCCCAGTCTGTTCTCTTCATCCTCTGACTGCTCATTGTCATTCCACCCCCCCATTCCCTGGCTCTGAGTCTTCTTCCCTTGGGGGTTCCCTAGCTGGTGCCTCTCCCCATTCCTTGACATCCAGCCAGTCCATGACATCAAACCACTCCTGGTTAGCATTTGAAACCCTTCTCTGATTCTTGTGCTGAGAAAGGGGAAAGAAAAGTGGCAGGTGGGAGAAATTCTATGTAGAGAATGGAGCTGGAGTTTTTTGGAGGGAGGACTTGGCATTTTGTCTTGTGTTCAGTGATAGAGCGGGAGGTTAGGCAAACAAGGCTTGATTGGTAGTTGTGCTACGAAATTCTTTGTGTCGGCTACATACCATTTTTTGGTCCTTCTCCCAAGTTAATTGTTACTTAGCCAGCTTCTTTCTCTCTTTCTTCTTTGAATGGATGGTAAGCATTATTGTCAGTGAAACCGGGTGAAGAAATAAATAAAGCCTTAGCATTTCTGGGGATTCAGAAGAGGACAAGAGTAAAAGAAAAGAAAAATGGAACAAGGGGTTTTCTTAATAGATGTTCCCATTGAGAAAGATAAATGGTATCTTAGCAAGTTACTTTAATTACTTGAGGACAGATATTATTTATCCCATTTAACTCTGGAGCAAAATTGCATACACAAGAGAGTCAAGAAGCCCTTCAGAATAAAGGGTTAGCTTGGCAATGGAATTGCTGTCAGATGCTGGACAAGCAGCCACTGCTATAATTATGCTATCATATCCTATCATTAAAGATTCCGTTGAAAAAAGGTTTATAAATTACTCCTCTTTCAGATAAACCACCCCATATTAAGGCATCAACGATATGGTGCAGAATTAAATTAGAATCTCATAAAATGAAATATGTTCCGTATTAGCTGTTTGACACTTAATTTGCCTCCAAATGAGTAGAGGAAATCACAAATTAACCTGCCTTTGTTTTTCCAACCATAGCTTATTAGGTGTT